GGCGTCTTTGCGGAGGTGAGCAGCCTGAGTCGCACCATTTCCGGCATTGATTTCAGCGACCCCGATTGGAAAACAAAGTTCCAGCAAGATTGGGAGGCTCGTTTCAGACTTCCCCATCTCACCGACATCTTCCCAGATGCTCCTCCCATTCCTTCCACCTTTTGTCTCAAAATGAAGTTGGTTGGTAGGTCTAGTTTTCTTTTCTTTACCCTTTGTTTGCTACTACGGAAACATTGCTCTGTCTGGGGTGAGGATTTTTATGCTTTTAAAATTCAACCAATAGAGAAAAGGAATGGGATTTTGGACAACGGGCCAAGGACAAGTTTCGGATTGCTGCATATTGTACTCCACCCCCATTGCCAGATATTATAACTGCCCTCAAACCGTATATGCCATAACTTCCAAGAAGTTTACCTTCAGTGTCCACCAATTCAGTTCTGGCTAATGGAAGGTTCCAGGTGAAGGCACAAAGTAGAAACAGAGAAAAGAAAAGAAAAGAATCAAAGTGCAAACATAGAAGAAATTAAGGGCTTCTGTGCAAATTTGAAATAAAAAGAAAACAAAATATGGCACATAATAAATTCATAGCTGGCATAAAACGTGGATTGGTCGTTAGCCACGTGAGATAAAAGTTAACGCCGTCCAATTTTAAGGACTATTACTCAGAGTTTCAAAACAATAAGGACTAAAAACCATCAAAGTTCTGAGTAGGGACTAAAACCAAAATCGCTTGATAGTTCAGGGACTAAAAACATATTTAACCCTATAAAAAAAAAGTCATGTTCTATCTCTATAAATTTTTAAAAATAAATTTAATAATAATAATGATCATTATAAAAAATGATAGGTGATTTGTGATACATTATGTTATTAAAAAATTGAATCAATTTGTAATGTGAGGTGTTTTTAAAATTTGTCTAATATTAATTTTAGTACTTGAATAGTTTGATTCTATTTCTTTAACTTTAAGATTATGATGATTAAAGATTACGTAAGTCAGAGTATAAAGTATGTATAAGAGGCATTTCTATTATATATTGTTATATTAAAATATAAATTTAATTAATTTATGGTTTTAATTTCATTATTATTTTTTTATAAGCATAAAAGTAAGTAGTAATATTATAAACTTCTAAATAATTTTAAAATTTTGTAAACATAGCCTAATTAATAAGGATATGAAATTTAACATTTAATTAATTTTACATTATGTAAAAGTATTATTGAAAGTTTTAATTTAACTAACTTTATGTGATACAAAAAGAATGATATATACACTCCAATAATAGTAGAGTAATTATTAGAGTTACAAGAATGAATGATAAATTGTTTCATCTGCATACCCATAGAGTTGAATTACACTAGGGGTATACAAATTTTAAATATTGATATAAAAAACACCCAAAAATTTTAAAGGTATTAATTTTAATAAAGATTGATTTTGAAGGTATAAAAAACTTATTTATCAGAAAGAAAAACGGCACTTCTGCATAGGTATGAAACGGAATATTCTCAACAAGCAGTATCATTCTCAGACTTAATCTCAAACAAAGAAATTATCTTGATTCCATCTTATCATGAACCCTAAAACAACAGCAGCGAGATACAGCTAAACAAACAGCCCTTATTGGAGTGAAGACATTAAGAAGATCAAGCCAACATCATCAACAACAGAGCATATATGCCTGGCTACTGCAGTCCAAACCAGTCGTTACATGAGCAACTTGTCCTTTCCCGGAACTCTTCATTTATCCATGCAAAGTACGCCACTACTTGAAAATAGGCCTAGGATATGATAGATAGAAGCAGCACTGGCAACAATGATGTGAAGATTTGCATTTCCAAAAAAAACAAAAAAAGTTTACTTCTTCAGAATCATCTCAAAGGGCAGCATAATACAATGCAGAATCTCCAAGGTTACATAGAAATCAATCATGTACTTTTTCCCTTGGAAGGACCAGATGGTTCATTCGACACCAAGGAGGAAAGCAGACAACGTCATAACCACTGTATAGTTTATAATCAAATCTGTGAACTTTTTGAACAATGATAAAACATGAGAAAACTACATTAAAATGCACAAATCAGCAATTACGTAGAAGCCGAGACGTATAAGAGTTCAGTGGAGTACATCATACTGTCAGCAGCAATTGAGACTCCCAGAACAAAACATTACAGAAGTTGAAGCCTCTGAAAGCGAAGGAACGGACATGATTGGGAAAGCAGTAGTTTAAACTTGAGTAGCCATCCCTTTGCTATTTTCACCCTGATCATTGTAAAACCTTCCTGGGATAACAGCACCAGATTGGCCTATTATAAGAAAAGCTATGCTGAGTGGCACAAGAAACCACCATAGGAAGCGCTTATATTTTACTAAATGCTGATTCAGACATTTTTCAGTTGCAATCATCGGTTCTTCATCATATTTAATCTGAAGCAATGTTAAAGTTTGTTCTTCTTTTGATTAAAAGAACCTCGAGAACATCCAATGAAAAAGTAAATGTCAAGTAGACAAATCCCATTTAAACTCAACACATAAGTACAACACTCTGCACACAAGTTAGTATTTGAGTACGGTATGTCAATGTTCATTCACATGGAAGAATGATTTTTATGTGGTATACTTACTGATAGAGACAAAGTTAATCAAATCTTTCAGATACAAAACCAAATTTTCCAAAGCCAATGCAGAGCAGAATTGTCGCTTCGAACCGGAACAAATTCCTTATCAACTAAATCACAAGAGGGTGATGTTATTCGTCTTTGTCATTTGAAGTCAAAAAAGATGCAATCACCCAAATCTACAATAATTTTTATAATCGCATTGGGGCAATACTGAATTAGTTGTCGTTGTAGCCACGTAACTTGGATTTGTCCTCTTTTGTCCATACAACCATACTTTAGCTATATTATGTCATGGGGAATCAATCAATCTATCCAGATACTGTCTATTTACAATAACAGAGTGTGATCACAGCATTACGGTTTACCTCAGTCCTGATTACTGCTACTACCACTACAAATTTCTATTCTGCTGCTATGTGTTCGATATGTACAGAACTATGTATTTAACACGCAATACTTCCAATGAACCGCACCTTTCTATCTTCCAAAAAGCTACTCAGAAATGATAATTTGGCAATGCACTAGGTTTGGATCATAAAAGCTTTGCACTTGGTGTAGGTGGCTTGTGGCTAATATTCAAACTTCTCAAGATGCAGAACCTTTAGAAGATTCCGAAAAACTAACATCACCTTGTCAAAGTGAGACTTGAACCTTCACATTGAAGTCGCCAACCACATCTATGAGCTGCCTCCCAAGTAGCTATTACTACTGCCAGAACTGCTTAAAATGGAAGGCAAATCACGAACAAGAAACCTGACACTGCATGTACCAATATCATCCAATACGTCTAGACACTCTTGCAAATCAGCATCATTCACCAACATTACCCATTCCTCTTCATCATCTAGATATTTGAGTTGGAATGACCCAGTTTGTAGTTTGAATCTTGCTGCAACTTCTTCATATAACCTGAAACAACCAGCAGATGGGTCGAACTTGAAACGAATGGTGTCTTCTCTATAGATAGCTTTGACAATTAGTTTTGACCCACTATCAACGATGGTTGACTTAACTTTGGACTGATTCTGGTTCTTAAAGCTCTTAGAACCTGATGAAATGCTATGCATCATTGAACCAGAGTCATTAGATGAGTCTGTCAAGCTTGAGGAACTGGGGTGGTTAGGTTCAACAACCTCAGCATCCCCATCTACACCAATGTCCATCTCCTTACCAATCAAGGAATTTGAACTCTGACCAAGAATACTGCATTTACAGTTTTCTACTCTCAAACCACTCTTGTTCCCAGTCCATTTATCCTGTTCTTCTGGAAGAACAGAGCCCAAACAAGCTTGTTCAGGACAATCCTGCACCTTGGTGCAAAGGCTTTCCATTTCGCATGACCCATCATCAATTGCCATTGATTTTGAATCTTCACAACAACCAACGGAAAAAGCATTGGTTTTCTTCAATTCTTCCTCAACTTCATTACAAGGTGCACGAGGTACCGGGACTGCTTCTTGTGTAATATGTGCAGGGTCTTTTATAATATTTTTCTCAGGAAACAGAAGACTTTTATGTGCATCAGTTTCCTGGATGATTGATCCTCTTGCCACGAATGCCCCCATAGAGGAGTCAAACTTCAACCCTCCCTCCACTCCTCGGACAGAGTCCAGCACAGTCTGTATCTTCTTCAGTGATCGATTCACTTTATTAATCTTGCGGGATGGCCACCTTGAAATTCCATGTTGCCTACATATCCTTTTCAGAGTTGTCGGGCAAACTGGTCAAAGGAGAAATATTTGTCAATAAAAAATTGATTCAATTAACAAGAATTTCCTTTCAGAAATACTGAAAATCTCTTTTGGACGAAGAAATGGTACTCTTTATTTAAGATAGAACAGTCGTAATACATATCAAATAAAATTGTTACTAACGAGGAAGCTAAGATACTGCAATTACCACTCTTTAAACAACCCCCTTGTATCTTTCAATATAATACTAACAATTGAGTGCTTCAAATTAAAAGGTTATACATATGCAATCAGCACCATTTAAACAACTCCGTCATACGATACATGGAAATGCGTTAATTGTTTTCCACACTAAGTAGTAACTGGAGAAGAAAAAAGAAACTCATAATAGCTTTCAGAAGGTATACAGCTCAAATGATGGTTAAGATTGACCAATATAACCCAAAAAGTGCAAATCTGTTAAAAAATCTAACACAGTCGTCTTAATCCAAAATAAATAACCCAGTTCAATGAATATACGGAAATTAGTATAAATAATGTTGGAATCTAACCACCGATGTTTTTTGCAGCATCCTTCAGACTACCAGAAAAGTATTGTTGGAGAACACTCAAGCTAACATTCTTCTCTGATGTACTTTTATTTTTCTGGACCTGTCTTTTTGCTCCATATCTTCCCTACAGGACAAAAAATATGTCTCTGGAAATATTAAAAACTGTTACACCACCCATAACTTAAAAAGTTGATGCATAAACTATATTAACTTTGCTCTCGATTAGCAGACAACTTCGTTACATAAAAGAAAGAAATATAATGAGCATTCAGTGTTTCTCCACTGATCTACTCCACAGTTCACAATCACTTGCAGTAGATGTGTCCACAAATGGAGCAGTAATTTCACATTTAATTCTGCCACTATATCACTATAATAATAAATTATTAACAGCTAATCTTGTAGACGTATGCAATCTTCCTGGTTAAGAATTACCAGAAATTTATGAAGATTAAGAACTTTAAAAATGCTTATTATACACATTAGGTAGCTATTCATTTCATGGGGAAAATTATTTGCAAACTTGGACATCAACAAGAACGTGCCATTACAAAATTTGCAAGACAATAAAATATATTTATTCCGTCCAAAGAATAGCATTTGTACCTGATTAGCAGAAGGCTCAATTTCATTGCCTCGTGCTTTTGTTGGAGTCGATGACATCATTGGAACAGAATGATAGTCACCATTTATTAATGGTACTCCAGAGTTTTGACATGACAAAGGAGGAAAATAGCGGGCATTTGTCTTTTCAAATCCTTCTGGTGAACTTTCTATTCTTGATAATTCAGCATCTGACACCGTCCTCAAACTACTACAAATTCTCTGCATTGTACCTGAGAGGTTGTCTAATAAAAGTTGCTGCTCTAAACCCCCTCTCATGTTAACAGGCAGAAAGAATTCCAATATGTAATCATCATGATTAGTATAAGTACTCCTTAGCCTAATTGCAACTACAGCATTCAAATTATACTTGCGTGCATGATGGACAAGTGGATATTCACCAATATCATATTCCTTCACATCAGGACAAAAGAAAGGATGATTTGATCGAAGAGCTTTCCCAGCTATACCTTTCCCTTCCTCAATATGATGTTCTGTGCATGCACGGACAAATCCTGCCAGTGCTCTATCAGTTATATAGCAAGCAGATTCTTCAAGGCAGAGTATGTTTTTTCCACTAATAGTTGAATGGCACCCTTTAGTTCGTATCCTAGTAACTTCACCTCTTGATCCCTCATTGTAACAACAGGGAAGCCATGTCAGTGCCAGTGGTAATCTATGTGCATGACAGACAGAACGTAACACATCAACTATCTCAGTCAAAGTAGCCTTTTTGTTGTTTGAAAGACACTGCAGAAGAAGAAATAATATTGCAGGTGAAAAATACAGACAAAAACCACATCTCAAATAATGTGGGCCAGATGTGCCAATATCGATATGCAAAATAAATAAACAAATTCACAAATACCTGGGGAAGACATCGAAGAGGCTTGGCAGTGCTTAAATTTACAAGCTGCAGAAAATCATGATAAATACATTATCATTACTACCTGCAACTATAATGTTCAAATTCATAAAAGGATGTAATCATTCGGTACAATAAGTATTGACATATTTCAGTGCAACATACTGACGGAATTAAAGTTTGTTGTACACTATTTAATCTTCATAAAGTAGGAAAAAAAGGTTACATTTGGTAAAAATTTGAAGAGTTCATGCATAGAAAAAAAGGGTTACTTTTTCTAAGTGACTGAAGAGTGGCTCCATAACTGTGAAAAATAAGTCAAATACACAATTGAGGGTTGAATTGTGTATTAAAACATTTGGAAATATTTGCAATGAATTGTTTGATGAAAGCTCAGTCAGATGTAAGATTTTGAGCTAACAAATAATAAGTCAAAGACCTTCAAAAACTTAGTCTATAAGATCTCTCATTCTTTAGCTTAGTTTTAAGAACATGCTAAGTAAACTAGTTCAAAGAAAGAAAGATTTACTCTTGGTATTTTTGTACCGGTTCATATGTAAAAGCAGACTATTACATCATAATGCTGTTTTTGTGGTTATGACTTGTTAATTTGGACAAATTATGTTGTATATACTTTCATGCTTTGAATTAGTTTAGATTGAGTGTGTTGTGGCTTTTCATTGGTTTGAAGCCTTGAATTAGTTTGCCCGCAATGTGATTGACTGCTTGCGTTGTTGCTTCAACTATATAGGACAAATTGTGTTTAGTTCTATTATCAAAATGTACTTATTTTTTGACAATTTCATTATTTCAAAACATTGAACCAACTCAATTTATCATGAGAATTCTTTATTGGGTTGGGTCATGGATTTATACCAACCTAACCCAACTTAACTTGTACATACCCCTAAAAGCATTCTACTTCCACGCATATTTGTAACAGATGAGTAACAAATAGAGCGCAAGGAAAATTCTGAATTTTATGGTGAAGGACACCAGGTAAACTACCATCAAACTCATTATGAAATGCAGTAAGACAGACAAAAAAGTTCAGAAAGACAAGTAACTTCGGAAAAAGAAAAAGATACCTGGAGTGCACGGCAAACAATTTCAATTTCTCTGTTGAAATCTGGCTTTTCCTTTGTAGTGACAATTTCCAGTACAGCACAACACAACAATTCCGAGTGCACATCAAAAATGGGAAATGCAATTGATCCACGAACATGGTGATTAATTGCATGCTCGAACCTTAGGTACTCACTCATACTGTAATAACCAACATTTGACGTCCACTCATGAACTTTGGAGGTAAATACACGACCAGGAAGTCCTAGGAAACAACCAGATTTTCCTTCTGCAGAAAATGTAAATGTCCTGGACACTTCACGGTACCCTGCTAGCATTTGATCTAGCAAATAAGGTTGTTCACTCGTGCTTAAGATGAATTGATCGCCATTCTTTATGGGTACCCAAACTTGTGCCAATATTCCCCCTCCAGCTGATTCCTTAAAGAAGGACAAAGCCCTCAGCATTCTCTCATCAAGTGATAAAGCAGGTGGCCTGGACATTATATAATTTCCTGCATCAGAGTTATTCAGATGTTGAGAAGAGCCATTAATTTTTAGCTTAGAATTCAAGTTATTTTCTTCATTTGCATCATTTAAGAAACCAAGAAGGGTGTCCACTTGCTGACAGGCAACTTTCTCCCCATAAATGGGGGAGCTTTCCATATCGTTGTCATTTCTACCAACTCCTGACATATAGCATTGCCCATTGTTCTGTTGGACTAGGTTGAATCCATCAGGCAATGAATATGGTAATGAAGCAAAGGACGGAAGCTCATTAGCCAAAATATGATCAGATATGGATGGGCTGTTGCACAGACCAGCATAAGTATCAAAGTTCATGAGCTCTGAGAAGCTATTGGGCATATCCTCTGATATTGAATTGTTCATTCTGCTATCTAATGATGTTGATCCCACCAACTGAGTTCCGGAAGATTGCCAATCGCCAATTTCTCTTTCCTTGGAGGAAAAAGGGTATTCCATACTGGGGTTGGAAATCAAACTTCTTGAAAAATTTAACCAATGCTAGAGCTCCTCTGTGTAAAAATTTGCATGAGACGCCGCTTCCATATTCACCAGCACTCTCGAAGTCTGTAAGTTGTCTACTCAAATTAGCTAGCTTATCGATCAAGCAAATTAACATCGGCAAAAAAACCCCAAAAATAAATTTTTCAAATAGATAATTAGAAACCTACAATATCACAACAGCAGATTTTTGAGAACGGTAAGTTTTAAGCCCATGCCCAAGCTAGGATACGCAACTGCTCTAAAAATAGTTAAAAGAACAAAATAAAACTTCAGCTCTTTAGGCAAACATAAAAAAGACTGCACAGGCAAAATATTAGAAATCCAATATCAGTATGCATATGAATACTTCGTATTTCCTGATTTCACTTCGTTGAGCTGATTTAAAGTCCTTTTACAATCTCGATACATATTAAATATTAATTATTAATCTAACACCATCGTATCCATCTCTGTAACTCATTTTCTACAGTCTTCACACTATAGAGAATCCGGATCCATGAACAACAACTTAAAGGCCGGCGTTCCCATACCTCAAAGCTAGGCATCCAAACCCCAAAGAAAATTCCAATCCACCAAAAAACCAAAACTGAAACTACATATAGAGTTGAAAATACATTTCAAACATACACCTTAAAAACAACAAGCAACTAAAAAACCCACAAAGTTAACTCAATAACAAGGAACTTAGGCTTCCCAAAACCTAAATGTTGAGGAATAAAACGGGGTAAATTACAAGGGACCTAGAATTTTGAAAATCTTGTCAACAACTGGCAAATTGTGACGGATTCCAATCCTCGTTGTTATGTGTGAACTGTTAACATAGTTTTGAAAAAAATAGAGGTAGACGACAATTTTGACAAAGCAATTGGGGATTTCTAACACGTGAAACCTAGAAATAGGTTTGGTGACAGAGGCAGCGAGTCTAACCAACCTTAAAATTCTCGACCATGACGAAACCTCTGCTCATAGAATTCAACAAAACAGGGGCAACTCAGCTCTGAAGTTGACGCAGTGAAAATTTAAAATTCTGGAAATGGAAATAATTAAAAAAAAAAACGAGAAAGTTGCAGTTGTAAACTGAATTTGTTAGACGGAAGTAGCAGAGAAGGTTTTGGTTTTGGTTGCTAAAAGCGGAAAGACGGTTTTCCTAGCCGTTTTCACCCTTGTACGGCGTTCTTAACTATGTGAACTCACCGTCTCTTCCGTTTTCGATCTCAATTTTTTATCAATATAAATATAAATTAATTAAATATCTCCCATTGATTCACTTTCCTTCAAGAATCTCGCTGTTTAATCTATAATTAAAAATAAATAAAAGAAATTCGCTGCTTTGCTTCCTACGGTTCCTATGTAGTAAAATATTATTGCAGTCAATTCCGTTGAATTCGATATCTCGTAATTCAATGTTAATTTTTATTGGTGAGTAATTATAATTTAATTAACAAAGAAAAATGTGGAGCTTTAAATAATTCTTTATATATATGTAAATAATAAATACAAAAAATTTTGTTAAAAATATCATTAAATATTGTCATAATCCATAATTTGGCTTAAATAGTATATAATACATCAAAGTTATTTAAGTAAATTGAATATATAATTCAGATTTAGTTAAATAGGTGTTCAACTTATTGTAAATTTTCTTATGTATGTTGAATTATTACAGTTAAAAAATGTTAATTTTATTTTAAACATGAGAGAAAATTTTCAATCCGAATGAAAAAAAAAAAACTGATTTGTTTATTATAGAAGAATTATGTCATATTAATTTATATAACTTATACTAATTGCTTATACTAAATTATTTTAATTTGAAATTCTATTTATAATATGTATATGGAATTAAAAATTCATTTTATCGAGATATATCTAAAAAAAATATATTAATCTGAAATTGTTTTTTGTCTTATATGTATACCATATATGATTAAATTGATGCGACATAAATTTATGAAAATACATGCAAATCAATTATTTAACGCATATAAAATTTTAACTTATGATTCTACAACTACATCGATTAAAATTATATTATGAAAAAAAATATTACCAATGGTATAATAGTTTGCATAAGTTAATTATAGTAGTTATTTTCACTTCATGGCTAAATAGATTATAGCATTTTCATCCAAATTGAACGTTCAACGCAATAACCTCTTAGTTTACTTTTAATTTAATCAAATTTATTAAAGTACTTCCATTGTAATAACGTCGTTGATATAAATTGGTATCTTAATAATACTTTTTTTTTAAGTGACAGAAATGAAATATTGTTTTGACTTTTCTAATTGTGGAAAGAAGGCATTTTAAGTCAACTTCTAATAATGAAATGATGGAGCTGGTCGTTATTTTTTTAAAATTATTAAACTATAAAAAAAAATCGCCTTGTTTAAAATTTTTCTTTTTAAGGTTTCTTAAAATACTAATTGTTTTATATATAAGGTGGAATAAAACCTTTTTTTTCTAAATACAATTATATTTCACACGTAACAATATTTCTATCTAAACGAATTTCAAGAGTTATTGCACATTCAAGATTAGAGAAGAGATATTGAATAGTTAATTGAAATATGGTTTATTTTTAGAGATAATTTTTAGTTTATGATATACTAAAATATAAATAATTTTATAATCATTCAAAGCTAATATATATAAAGTGAGTTTTAAGTGTGTAAGTAAATTATATTATTTTAATAAAAATACAGTATTATACACAAATTATTAATTAAAAAATATCTATATATAACTTTTAATGTTGTATTATTCATCTTACAGAACTTATATCAATTGAAACATGTACACTTTACTAAAAACTAAACACTGTTTAAAAATTAGTTTAAGTTTAAGTGTAATTTATTCTCGTATTAGGGCAGCTGCATTGTGAGGGTGTATGTGATGTTGAAATTAATGCATTTATTTATTTTGCAATTTTGTAAACACGAGTATCTTAAGGCGTAAATGTTTGACCGAAAGAAGCTTTGTGTTTGAAGAAGGTTTAATTAAATAAGGGTAATGGAATTGACATGTTGGGATTCACAATTATGGGATTAGGTTTCCCTTTTATTTTGGGATTTGATATCTCATTTTCTTCTCATCTATTTGTCAATGTCTGCAGCAGTTGGCCACCCCAGACAGAGTTGTCCAAATAGTGGAAACTTCAATGCTTAAAGCTGTCATGCTTTGATTTGCTGCAAAGAATATTTTTCTTCCACGAAATGAGCTAATAAAAAATGTTCTTCATTAATTTCCTAAATTTACACAAACATATATAATGAATTAAATATGTTTTTTACTTTTAAATTATTAGAAAACATTGTACTTATATTTAAATTAAACTACACGTTATTTTATTTTTAATGTTTATAAAAATCGCTACAATAATTTAATTTATTCTTGTATAAGATATTAATGATATTTGTAGACAAAATCTAATTTATCAATGGATGTGGACAAATTTTATGATATTCATCAGAAAACTTTGTCAAAATCTTACCATCATATTTATTGATCGATAGTTTTATTTTGCAAATAATTTATTTAAGAATTATAAACGAATATTTGTGAATGATATTAATGATGGTTGACGTTGTCAATAATTATTGATGGATGTCTGTATCCTTTCATGATTTTTACAAACAAATTTCTTAGGTTGATAATTTGTTGAAGAGCACGATTTATCCATAGATATATGCTATTAGGGCAATATGTAGTTTTTCTTGTAATAAATCGTGTAAATTATAATTCTAAAATAAATGTGATACAAATATTATATTATATAGGCTAAAATTCTTTTTCAAACCATTTTTCAATACAATTATTCATTTTGTTTTTTTCAATTAAATCATATTTTTTTGTTACAATGACTGAATTATGTCATTTCCTTAATATTAATCTTGTCTTTATACATGTCATGCGTTAGTTTGTGATAATTTTATTATTATTTTTTTAATTTTTTAATTTTTTTGTCACATTGTTATCCTTGTGAGAGTGTTAGTGTTACGTGATCAATGTTGATGACACATGTTAATGACAATGTTACATAACACAATCTTAAATTTAATTGAGTCACATTTTTTTTTAAATAGAACAATGATATTCCTCTCAAACTAAGACCAAGTTAATAATCAAGCTCAATTACAATTTATATATACATCTTAAAATAATATTTTAAAATTTATACATCAAATCATTCTATCTAAATATTAAAATTAACTTTATTTTTAATTTTAATTTAAAATAAATATTTATTTTAAACTTTCAATTTTTTTAAATGTGAATATTTTAAACATAAAATCACACTTAATTTTTAAAATTTTAATATTTGAAATTATTTTTAAAAAATGTATATTTTTTGTAGCTTATTTATAAATTTAATATGAAATTATGTTTACATCTATTAACTCAATTTTTATTATATATTTTAACTTATAAATTATATGTGACACAAAAACTTTATATGTGACAAAAAAAATCAAAAGAAACTAAAACAAAATATTGAAAATAACACGAATTAGCACACACCATATAAAAAACGATATTAACAAAAATGTCCTAAGCTTTATAAAAAAGTAGAACTTAATTTAAAAAATTAACAAATAAATAAAATAAATAACTAAAATGAAATTTAAGACGAAAAGAATATTTTAGTTTATAATTTATTGTAAATTTTCATTTATCTCGTGCAAAAACATTTTAGTGTAAAACCTAATTTGTTATTTAAAATTTGTTAGAAATAATATTTTACAAAATTTTTATATATTCGAAGAACAAAAAAATTTATGATTTATTCTAGAAATAAAACATATTTTTTTAATATCAGTAGGAGATGAAATAACCTTATTAATTTTATATGCGTCTTTAATTTTATTTATTTTTATATTCAAAGTAGTATTATGGTCATTAACCAACGCCGTTGACTAACGGCATACGAAAAAGGTAATTTGATATAGACATTTATTTTTATATGAAAAACTCAACTTAAATTAGTTAAATATTTTAAAAAAACTACGCTTTTGAGATCATTCAAAATTAAAAAAAAATATATATTTGTTTTACCGTAAAAAATTTAAATGATAATTGTCAGGTAAAAAAATAACATTCTCACAGTACTTTGGTATTTTGAAAAACCTGTTTTTACAAATATTAGATTACATAAATGTTTAACATTGATTAACACAGTAATTATATTTTTTTGACAAATTGTCTATTTGAAATTGTGTGGTTAACTTATCTACTTGTTTTATATGTTATTTAGATATGAAGATCATATTTGTAATATAAGTGCCAATGAATTAAAGTATAAGTCTAAGGACTTGTTCTTTTGAGTGGATTTAAGGAAGGGGATTTGAAAATAATTTTTTTTAATTTGTCACGTCAATACAGTTATATACTAATTCTCACAAATTTTATTTTCAAATTCACTCTTATCTATCTCTAAATTCGCTCAAAAAAATGACAAAAAAAATATCTTCAAATTCTCTCAAATCTACTCAAAAAAACAAGGCCTAAAGGTCAGATTGAGTAAAATGTAGTGAAAAAATTGGACAACTTATAAATAAAACAATTCACATACTTATCACGCTAGATATATTTTTTTTGGCAATATTAATTGCCTTTGTATAAATTTGACCAATACTTCGTTATTATTAATCTTTCAATGAATTTTTCTAAAAAATCAATGATAATAGAGCGGATAAAAGAATAATATTAGAGCTCTTTCATAAAATTCATAATAATTTTGAGGAATAACATGAGAGTAGTTTCAAATTTATCAATATGTATAAACCACCATTTCATAAAAAAATAGGAGATTTATTTTATTCTTTTAGATGAAATAACTACCATTATGTCTCACTGTAATAATAAAAAAGAACAATACAATTGAAAATTTTATATAACTATTATTAAAATAAAATAAAAATTATCAAAATGTAAAACCTTGATAAAATAAATAAGTATACAAGTAATTTAATTTTTGTTATTTTTTTAATTATATAATAAAAAGAGTTTTCATATTTACGCGTATAACTTACAGATTAAAAAATAGATTAAAAAATGATTAATATATATATAAAACACGTATAAGAAAAAACAATTAAAAGACCTTGATTATTAATTGTTACAAATAAAATTATATATATATATATATATATATATATATATCCAATAATTATTATATTTATTTTATTGTGTTGTGTATGATA